AAAAAAATCAGCTCCCGGCCAATTCCTATGACGTGGAGGTCAGGCATGCCTCTACCCTACAACCTTCTTTACCCTATTTTGACACCAACCATCCTTCCCACAGCACTCTGCTTCGCATCTGGGTTCAATAATCCATTGCAATGGCCACACAGACTTTATAACAACAGTCATGGGTTTCATTAGGGAAGTGAATGGGGTACACAATTCAGGATCAAAAAACAACTCGGGATGCAGCAGTTTTCAAATTAGGAATTCCTATTCTCTGTTTTACTACAGACACGCCTCACTCTTGTCCTCTGCTTTTCAGCCACGTGGCCCCTTGGCTTTTGCGTGTTACAAAGCTCTTTTAGCCAGTCTGTGAATGCCCAAAGGGCACATTCTGCAAGCCAGCCTCCTGTCTTTAGGAGGCTTAGGCCATGGACCTAGAGGGAGAGCCATCAACTGCTCTGTTTCTCCATGCCACTGTCTCTGCTATTGCTACTATTCTAGGTAGGGATCTCATGCTTAATTCATGCTTTTCTTTCTTGAAATGGTCCTAGGATCATCTGTCTCTGCTGCTGAGATGGCTCCTTTTAGACTTAGGGGGTTGGCAAAGCTAACCAATCCTAGCCTTAAGAGTCCTGTACACCTTATTTGCATGGTTCCACCTATCACTTAAGGAGCTATTGTAGCGTAGTGGTTACGAATTGGGCTACTAATCTGAAGGTCAGCAGTTCGAAACTACCAGCGGTTCCACAGGAGAAAGATGAGGCATTCTGCTCCCGTAAAGATTTACAGCCTTGGAAACCCTGTGCAGAGTCACTATGAGTTGGAACCGACTCCATGGTACTTAACAACAACAACCTATCATTTGGTTAGAATTAAGATGTTGGATAGAAAAGTCATATTAAGTAAATTCAAGGTACCACAATACCCCTCCACCACTTTTAAATACAACTTTCGTTAGACATCCATCAATCATTCCAATATGAGTATGCCATCTCTTCCTTTTGAAACTGACTGATACATATATATATATATTCTTTATGAATTCTCTCCTCTGATAACTTGATGTTGTTCATTTTGAAGGTCCTGTTCTTTCATACTTTTGTGGTAATACTTGCATACATGTCTTATGTATCTCTCTTACTGAAATGTAAGTATCTTGAGGGCAAGGTCTGGTTTTATCAATTTGCTATCACCCTAACAGATCAGATCCCAGCAGGAACATTCAGTATGTGGAACGAATGGCTGAATAGCAAGGGACACCAACCAAAATATTATTTATTGCTTTATTTAACTTTCCCTTACAATTGAAGACTGGTTACTGTTACTGTAACCTGAAAGCTCAAGTTTTTTTCAATCTAGAGAGGAAAGTGTATATCACTTCTGAGCCACTGACCTGTCCTGTTCCCTGCATGCTAATCAAGAATGTAACATGATATTTGTGTCTCTTTGTGTGTTTTCTACAGGCCTTTCTCTGTAAACCCTTCTGCTGGAACTCTTAACGTGGGAGAGACCATGCAACTGGAAGTGGAGTTTGAGCCACAGACTGTGGGCAATCACAGTGAAAGACTTATTGTGTATTATGACACAGGTATGCAGTATCCTCTGTTAAAAGTGATGTATGTTGAGAGGTCTGAAGGGAAATATAAAGTTAAGTGTTGTTGTTATTGTTAGGTGCCATTGGATGAGTTCTGACTCATAGCAACCCTGTGTACAACAGAACCAAACACTGCCTGGTCCTGTGTCAGCCTCACAATTATTGTCAGGTTGGAACCCATTGTTGGCAGTCACTGTGTCAGTCCTTCTCACTGAGGGGCTTCCTCTGTTTTGCTGACCCTCTACTGTACTAAGCATGATGTGCTTCTACAAGGACTGGTCCCTCCTGATGACATGTCCAAAGTACATGAGATGAAGTCTTGCTATCTTCACTTCTGAAGAACCTTCTGACTCTACTGTCTTCCAAGACAAATTTGTTCATTCTCCTGGCAGAACATAGTAATTTCAATATTCTTCACCAACACTGTAATTCAGATATATCACGTAAAGTAGAAAGTAGTTATTCTGAATGCATTAAAGTAACCTAAGAACAACAGAGTGAAGAGCCAAAGAATTGATGCCTCCAGTAGAAATGCTATTGAGCCAGGTGTCAATCCAACTTAATGAATTTCTCCAGCTCTTGAAAGACCACAGAATAGAAGCTCAGGAAGTAATCTGTACCCAGAAGTTGCTCTGAGAGATTGAGGCAATGCATGTATAAACAGAAAGTTAAGGTAACTGGATACTTCATGGACTTTACATTTGATTTATTGTTGTAACCATCTAACATTGTCAAATTTAACCCCCTGATCAGAATGTCCTTGTGTGTGCCCATTAGTCTGTGTGTGGTAAGACCTTTGGTCTGTGTAAATTACTTCAATCCATACAGCATGAAAATAGCTAACTGACATCTGACATAAATATACTACTCTGTCTATTGCCATTCATGTTTTTTTTAAGAGCTACACATTGCAGAGTCATGAATTTTACACATTGTTTTTGCAAAGATTTAATTTTGTGGTCATGTATACTATATGTACATTATGCAAGTCTCCAAAGTTGGCTTGCAAATTAATATTTTAGCATTGCCATTTATTATTTCATGATTTTTCTCATTTCATTCTCACTTCCTTTCTGCCCATTCATCATGAGTGACCTAGATTCTCTGCCTTGGAAAAGCATGGTAGGAGAAGAGCCAGGAAAAGCATAACAAAGGACATTCAGGTCAGCGCTCAGAGTCCCTGGTTTTGTGGATGCACATCTGAGCTGCAAGTCCTTGCCTTGGCCCTGACTCCATATTACCCGATGTAACAATAACCCATAACCAGTGGCACAAATCTCTTTGACTGATTCCCTAGTGTTGCACATAACTCACTGGTCACTAGCAAAGGATACTTCACTTGAACTAGAGTAAACGAAAAGGGGAACTTTTTGGCCCATGTAGCCAAACATTTATTATTCAATTACTTTGTTATTATTTGAGTATCCTGGTGTGGCACTGTAGGATAAACAGTAGACTGCTAACCACAAAGTTGGTAGTTCAAACCCACCAGCTGCTCTTTAGAAACCCTATACAGTGTCACTATGAGTTGGAACTGACTCGATGGCACTTAACAACAACAATTTCATTCTGCATAATGTCTTCCATGATTATCCATGTTACGAGGTATTTCTTAGATTTATTCTCTAACATTGCTTATTATTCCATGTGTATATGTACCAAAGTTTGTTTAACCATTCTTCCATTGATGGGCATTTAGGCGGTTTCCATCTTTTTGCTATTGTGAATAGTTCTTTGATGAACATCGGCTTGCATATATCTACTTATGTTCTGGATCTTATTTCTTGTGGATACATACCGAGGAGCGGGATTGTGAAGTCATGTGGTATTTCTGTTTCCAAATTTCTGAGGAAACGACATAACCATTTTCCATAGCAGTGGAACCATTTTGCAGTGTACCCACCAGCAATGCAGGAGGGTCTCTACACCCTCACCAGCATTTGTTGTTTTCTCGGTTATTTTTTTGACTTTGCTATTAATGCTGGAGTGAGATGATAGCTCATTGTTGTTTTAATTCACATATCCCTAATGGCTAATGTCGAGTCAGAAAACCAAAAGGGAAGAACATGCTCAACATTTCTCAACCTGGGGGAACTGAAGAAAAAATTCAAGTCTCAACTTTTCGTTATTGAATGATTCTCTGGGCAAATTATTGAATGATGCAGAAAGCATCAAATGAAGATGAAAGGAATATACAGAGTCACTGTACCAAAAGGAAATGGTTGATGTTCAACTGTTTCAAGAGGTAGCATATGATCAAGAACCAATGATACTGAAGGAAAAAGTCCTAGGTGCATTGAAAGAATTAGCAAAGAACGAGGCTCCAGGAATTGAAGGAATAAAAATTGAAATCTTTCAAGAAAGTGAGGCAGCACAGGAGGCACTCACTGATCTATGCCAAGAAATTTGGAAGACATCTGGCTGACCAATTGGAAGAGATCCGTATTTGTGCCCATTCCAAAGAGAGGTGACCCAATGGAATGCAGAAATCATTGGACAATCTCTTTGATATCCCATGCGAGTAAAGTTTTACTAAGGGTAATACAGAAACGGCTGCAAGCATACATTGACAGAGAACTTCCAGAGGTTCAAGCTGGATTCAAAAGAGGACATGGAATGAGGTATATTGTTGCTGATGTCCGATGGATCTTGGCTGAAAGCAGAGAATACCAGAAAGATGTTTACCTGTGCTTTATTGACTACGCAAAGGCTTTTGATTGTGTGGATCATGACAAGCTGTGGACAACATTGTGAAGTATGAATATTTCGGAACGCTTAGTTGTGCTCATGAGGAATCTGTACCTGGACCAAGAGGCAGTTGTTTGAGCAGAACATGGGAACACTGAATGGTTTACAATTAAGAAAGATGTGTTCAGGGTTGCATTCTTTCACCATACTTATTCAACCTGTATGATGAGCAAATCATCCGATAAGCTGGGTTATATGAAGAAAAACATGGCATCAGGATTGGAGGAAGACTCATTAACAACCTGCGATATGCAGATGACCTTACTTTCTCAAAGTGAAGAGGACTTAAAGTATTTACTGATGAAGATCAAAGAGCACAGCCTTCAGTATGGATTACATCTCAATGTCAAGAAAACAAAAATCCTTACTACTGGAACAATAAACAGTATTCTTATCAACAGAGAAGAGACTGAAGTTGTCAAGGATTTCATTCTTCTTGGATCAACTATCAACACTCATGGAAGCAGCAGTCAAGAAATCAAATGATGTATTGCATTAGGCAAATCTGCTGCACAAGACCTTTTTAAAGTGTTAAAGAGCAGAGATGTCAGCTTGAGGACTAAGGTGCACCTGACCCAAGATAGTATTTTCAATAACCTCATATGCATGTGAAAGCTGGACAGTGAATAAGGAAGACCGTAGAAGAATTGATGCTTTTGAGTTATGGTGTTGGAGAATATTGAAAGAGCCATGGGCTGCCAAAAGAACCAACAGATCTGCATTGGAAGAAGTGCAGCCAGAGTGCTCCTTGGAGGTCAGCATGACCAAACTTTGTCTCTCATACTTCAGACATATTGTCAGGAGGGACCAGTCACTGGAGAAGGAGATCATGTTTGGTAAGGTGGAAGGTCAGAGAAAAAGAGGAAGACCCCCAACGAGATGGACTGACTAAGTGGCAGCATCAGTGAGCTCAAGTGTGGCAACAATTGTGAGGTTGGTCCAGGACCGGGCAGTGTTTTGTTCTGTTTTACATACGGTTGCTATGAATCTGTACCAACTTGATGGCACCCAACAACAATGGCTAATGATTTTGAACATTTCCATATATGTTTGTTGGCTGCTTGAATATCTCATGGGTGAAGTATCTGTTCATACCGTCTGTCCAGTTTTTAATTGGGTCATTTATCTTGACCTAATTCCTCGGAAACCTCAGAACCGACTCGAGAGCACTGAACAACAACAACTGATATTTATAGAAGTTGTGTTACTTTATCAAGTACGTAGGCTACATCTGTCAAGTTGGGCCACATTTAAAGCTATCAATCATTTTCAACTAGTTTCAAAGCTTGAAATCGTATACTATTGAAATCATAGAACTAGAAAGAACATCTTCAAATGTTTGAATATTAGTAATATACTGTTCAACATGGGCCAAAGAAGAAAAAAAGAGAACATATATGCACTGTTGAATGTAAAACTGATGATATGGTCTGCAAATCTTCACTCAATTCACAATAAACACTTAAAAAATATATCAGTTAGGTCAAATTTGTTCATAGTCATGCCCTAGTCCCTGGAGGACATCATGCTTGGTAAAGTGGGAGGGTCAAGGAAAAAGAGGAGGACCCCTCCCCACCCCCCAACAGGAATGATTGGCACAGTGGCAGAAGCAATGGGCTCAAGCATAGCAGCAGTTATGAGGATGGCATAAGACCAGGCTGTGCTTTGTTCTGTTGGGCATAGGGTTTCTGTGAGTCAGTGCTGGCTCGGCCCCTAACAACAACAACAACAACAACAACAACAACAACAACAACAACAACAACAACTTCACACAGCATAGTAGGAACCTCCAGGTTCATCCTTTTTATGAGATGTTTCATAGATTCATCATTATTTATTATGTTGTATAGTATCCCAACGTGTGTATCTACCAAAAGTTGTTTATTCATTTTTTCCTTGATGGACATGTAGGCTGTTGCCATCTTCTTTGCTATTGTGAATAGTTCTGCGATGAACATGAGTGTGCATATTTCTATGCCTGTTGTGGCTTTTATTTCTCTAGGATATATACCAAGTAGAGGGCTTGCTGGGGCAACTTTTTAGGGAGGTATTATCCCATTTTCCATAGTGATTGCACCATTTTACAGTCCCACCAGCAGCGTATGAGGGTTCCAGTCCCTTCACACCCTCACCTTGTTGTTCTCTGTTTAAACTTTGCTATTAATACTGAAATGAGATGATATATAACAAGATTTTATACCAGAAGCTTAAAAAAGAGTGACACATAGTCCTTTTGCTCACACCAAGTGAATTGTTGATAAATACATTAAAAAGCTTTAGAATAGTGTTGACTGATGGTACAAATTAATTGTTGGTAAATGCATTAAATAGCTTTAGAATACTGCTGATGGAACAAATTAATTGTTGATAAATACATTAAATAGCTTTAGAATACCGTTGATTGATGGTGCATTGAGGGGTTGCATAGTAATGAAGCGAAGTCTATGCTTTGTTGAATGTAGAACTGAAGATATGCTCTGTCAACCTTCAGTCAATGCACAGCAACAAACTTTAAAAAAGATGTTGTTTGCTTCATCTTTCTCTTCTCCTAATTTTGATACTTTAGGTATATATTTTAATATATTTAACATTTGTATGCTTATACTTGTATATACGTTACATGTGTATTACCCAAATATTTACAAATACATATATATTTGGGGAGTATGATGTCACAAAATTTTATTTGATTGGATTTGAGTTTTAAGAAATACTGAGACCAACCAATTTAGACTGTTTATCGAATGATCGATTGATGGCATTAAAACTTGAGGGAAGACTTCAGTGATCATGTAATCCAGTCATTAGATTTGACAGATGAACCAGAAGCTCTCAGAAATAAAGTGGCTTACCCAAAGTCACATAACTAATCAGAAGCACAATTAGGACCCAGACCCAGAGACTCCTAACTTCTATATAATCAATGCCGTTTCACCCTAATGGATTGTCTCCCTCATTGCTTGTGTTAGAACATGTTGTTGTTGTTGTTGTGAAGTTGGTTCCGCCCCATAGCCAGCGTGTATAGGGTTTCCGAGGAGTGGCTGGTGAGCTTGAACTGCTGACCTTGAGGTTCTAATCGGCCTTGCAGTCCAGCGTATAAACCCACAGCACCCCACCAGGACTCCATGTATTTCTACATGAGCATTCCTATGCCCTTAGCCTGTGGGCTTTGAAATGACGCAGCACTCTCCCAGTGGTCCTCCTTCTAGATTTTACTTGCATGTGAGTATGTGGGATGACGCCCTTCCTTTCCTGTTCACTGGGTGAACCACAGTGAATTTTTGCGTATTAACATGATTCAATGTTGGTTTCCATTCCCTGGGGTTCCAGTGGCAGCGTTGGCACATGAGTGAAGTTCATTTCTGAAGATTACAAACAGAGGTGCGATGTCTTATGGCATTCTGTCTTTTATAAAATGAACTGACAGTAGGAATAGGCTTTCATCTTTATTGTGGGTTATCAGTGACCACAGCTTATAACCTCCTATTAGTGGAGAACAGTAATGAATGCCTAACAATTAATTATGGAGTTCTTTCCAAGCTGCCATGATCATTGGCTTCTCACTTCACTAAATAAGCATCTGACTGAACTTTCTGCAGCTGTCTGAAGTATGAATTGATTTGAGGAGAGAAATTTTAATATGGGCTATTGATGAAAGTGTTTTCTTCAAACTTCCCCAAAACAGTGTTCAACAGGGGGAAGCATTGATACTCCTCAGCAGGAAGTCCTCAGTCACATGTCTAGCAGTTGTGTTTGTATCTTTCAGTTTTTGGTCTTCCACTGCATATGTTGTTGATTAAATGCAGCTGGGAAGAGATATCTTGCTTTTCTGACAAGCAGATTTTGAACAAGTGCTCTAGCAATTGCAGAAGTGGTTTGTAAAATACCACCAATATCTAATATTTAATAACATCTTCTGGAATCAGAACTTTATGCCTTCCCTCCCCGCCACTGCCTGTGAGTTTCCAGGTGTAGTGAAATGAAGTTTGTTTACGCAATTTATTTTATAGCAGTAATGATTGGCTGCCGTTTGCTTTTTGTTTTGTTTTCAAACATACAAAAGGGAAATGTATTGAGGAACACATGGATACCTCTATTGCTTGGCATCTGTTGTTCTGTGCTAGTCTGGTATACAACCTGGTGTGGCCTACAGGATAAGCACTGGACTGCTAACCACAAATCCAGGGGTTCAAATTCACCAGCCTCTCCTTGGAATCCCTTCATAGGGTCATGGTGACTCAAAACTGACATAATGACACTTCACAACAACAACATGACTCTTAAACTGATTATATGTATTATATCTAGACACGCATGTCTGATGTCAGAAGAATATTGGTGCTGGAATTCTAAATTGTTTTAATTCTAGAAAACTGTCAATAGAATTTAATTAAGTTTTCAAAAATTATAATGATTGCAGGACCCAACCCCACAAACCAAGAAGGGAACAGGCACTCCTAGGGTACAGAAAACACCAATGCTGAGCAGGGTATCATTTGTTCCCCACGCCTACAAGCGTAACACTCCTTTTATCCAGTTTTCTAAGTAACCAGGGTGGGGAGACCCTTGTCAGGAAGTGCTACTTCCTTCAACAGCTGTGATGGCAAGGAAGGAGTGATAGAAGCTTCCTTCACTTTGTGGATCTGGAGATTTGGGGAAGATGGAAATGAAAAAGAAAATCAGTATTAGATTAGATTGTTTTTGAAAGGATGATTTTAGAGGTTCGTTTGCTGTATTTCTAGAAAGGAAGATTGCAGCAAGATCTTCAGAGAGATGATGCTAATCTCTTTGGCCTTAGATTTGGATGAAATTCTCCTTTAGATCTTTTTACTTGATTAATTTTTAGTGAAAGTTTACACAGAGTTTTAGGTTCCCATTTAACAATATCTATACAAGTTGTTCAGTGTTAATACATTTTTTTAAACGCATGCACATTCTCATTATCTCCATTCTGGTTGCTCCATTTCCATTCATCTAGTTTCCCTATTCCCTTACATTCTTAACTTTGTTTTAAAGTAATTGTTGACCACTTAGTGATTTTTAAAAAAAGATCATATGTGACCTTAGTTCATTTTTTAAACAGTGAAATATTTCAAATAACCACAAACGCATATACAACAGTATTCTGAATAGCCATTCTGTTTAACACATCTCAACATTTCGCCATACATTTTTCCTTCAGATATTTTATAGTGTAGGTAATTAAGCTGATTATAGATTTGAAACCACCATGTTAAACTTACCAGATCCATTTCCCGTGTCTTGCTCCTCATAGATGAATTGAGTATGGTCTTATACTATCTCCACATATTTGCTTATCCATAAACAACATGCAAGGGGCTTCAAAAAGTTCATGGAAACATTCCATTATTTCTTAGCTCCATTTTTCCATGAATTTTTTGAAGGCTCCTTGGATGGCATTGTCTGAAGTGGCTTTAAATGTCATATATATGGCATCATACTATACATACCAATTTCCAACTTGCTTTTATTATTCAATATATTAAGAATTAAGCCTGTAGTTAGCAATATATTAAGAATTAAGCCTGTAGTTAGATGCACATGGCTGTATTTTGTTTTGACTAATGTATAACATTCCAGTGAAAAAACTGTAGTTGTTCTATTCTCCTGTTGAATACTTAGGCTGTTCCTAGTGCTACAATATACTCCTGGTGAGGCACTGTAGGATCGGCGCTGGACTGCGAACCACAAGGTCAGCAGTTCAAACCCACCAACTGTTTCTTGGAAACCCTATATAGGATTGCTGAGTCAGGACCACCTCAGTGGCACTTAACAACAACAACAGTGCTACAAAAAGCATCTTTGTACGTATCTTCTTGTATCTGAGAGATTAAGAAGTACAGTTTCTTGGTAATAGGAAGTATGTATCCTGAGATTTGTTGTTGTTTTGTTAGTTGCCACAGAGTTGTTTCTGACTCACGGCAATCCAGTTTGTGCCGAGTAGAACTGCTCCACACAGTTTTCAAAGTTCTGATCTTTCAAAAGCAGATGACCAGGTCTGTCTACCAAGGCATCCTTGGGCTGGGTTTGAACTGCCAACCTTTCTGCTGGTAGTTGAGTGCTTAATAATTGAATTTTATTGGATACTAGGTAGATTTGATTCTCTGTAGTTGGTATCAAGCATAATATGTAAGTTTTCTAATTATATCTTATCTCTGGATTGATGGCGGGGGAGGGAGGAGGAAAGGAAAGAATGAAAGAATGCTTGTATTATATATACTCCCTAACTTCAACATGGGAAAACCAAAAATTTCCTGGAAATGCAATTCTAGAATAAATTTAAAATGTAAGCTTTGTTTATTCCTAGGTGAAAAAGTGTTTGTATCTCTGTACGGAGCTGCCATCGACATGAACATAAGGCTAGACAAGAATTCCTTGACCATAGAGAAAACCTACATATCTTTGGCCAGTCAGCGAACCATCACCATTCACAACCGCAGTAACATCATCGCCCATTTCCAGTGGAAGATATTTGCTAATCAGGATGATGAGGATAGAGAAAAGAATAGGTTTGTGAAAAAAAATATGACCTATATGTTATGATGTTGGGGAAGGTAAACCTCAGTAACAGTGAAGAATCAGAGGATTTTGTAAGAAGTTTCTAAGCAACTCAGTCAAGGTTGTTTTGTTAGCTGCCACAGAGTTGATAACTAATCTTGATAACTGGATTCCAGGGCCTGATGCTCACTTTGCACTTGCTCTTTAAGGTCCCCAAGCTGAGGCGGGTGAAACCATCTTCAGCTAACCTACCCCGTTATAACTTGTCAGTAGCTCAACTCCTAGACTTTACAGACCAAGTGTGTTCCTACTTCATGCATGGAATATGCATTCCTTTCATATTCTTAACCCCATTGATAAAGGTTTAATAAAGAGGTTTTTTTCCTCTGTATAAAAGAAACCTCTTTTCATGACTAACTGTGACTGTCTCAACAGTAAAGGTAGAAGTTTTGTTACCAAAAGAGGGGAACAGTTAATCTTACAGTCCAGGAACAGAGAACTCTAGGACCATCAAGGAGAAGAGCATGAGCACTGTGGGACCCTATCCAGAGAAGCAGCGACACCAGAGATGGAAACAGAGATGAGGGCATGGAGAGAGAGAGCAGCTGAGGACTCTAGACTCATGGAAAAAGAGAGACTGTGCTGATGGCCAGGAGGCAGGCTTGCAGAATGTGCCCTTTGGTTGTTTAAATGATTATATATTCCTGCGTGTTTTTGTGTACATCCCCCCCCCGACACACACACACACACACACACACACAAACAGAAGGAATAGAAGCAAATACTATTGAATGATGATGCACAGAGGAGATTGTAATCATTGCAATGAAACGATGAATGTAAAACTGATGTTCCCCCATGTAAACTATCACTCAATTCACATAAAAACTTAAAAGCAAAACAAAATAAAAGCCTCTTTTGAATTGGGACCAATGTGGAGTTTTTTGTTTTTTTTTTCAGTGAAAATTTTTCAGAAAATAGGAAGAATGAGGAAAAAGAAAGGCTTAGCTACAACCTCTTTTATATATTTGATCAGTTTTAGAAGCAGGCCTCCATCCTGACATACCATATAATTTAATAATGATTTCTAGTTGGTATCTTTAATCTCCTGTGTTTTGAAGTGATACTTCAGGTGGGAGAGAAAATTAATAAAAATGTAAAACCAAAATGTTTTAACTAATCTCATCATTGTTAAACTTTGAATATTTCTTTTTACCAAATCCATGCTTGCCTCCTATTTCATTTTTATTTCCTTCCAACCTCCTTGAATCAGCACTCTCTGCTTTTATTGGAATTTCTGAAGGCTTTTTTTTTTTTTTTTTTTTTTAACCCTCTTTCCATTTTTATTAAAGATTAGCACTGGGAGCTTCAAAGCCTTTTTTAAAACCAAGTTAGTAAGTGATGAAAATAAAAGCATGTCTGTCCATGGATACCAGGCAGAAATCTCCCAGCGAGCTGCCCTAATTGAATCAGAAGGAGCTATGACAATGGCAGGAGACAGCACACCAAGAAGCTCTGTCATTCAGACAATGAGCTTTAATCACCGGATTGCCACTGTGCCAATCTTTGAAAAGTGCAAAAAAAAAAAAAAAAAATTTTTTTTTTAAATCTTTCCTGCTTAGAAACAGCTCTTCCACTGTCTCCATTTGTCCTGATTCTCCAGACGTCAGCACGATCCAGACATGTTTAAAGATCAGGTACAAAAAGAAAGAGGAACCGTAATAAGAGTCGTGTTTCAAAATCATGCCTGGGCACCATGTTTGGGGGAGACCTGTACCCATTTGAGAAATGAAAACTGTGGCACATTCTGTACTGCTTCAATCTGAGAACTGATGAACAGTAGCTTCTTTCTAAAAGTAACTTGTTTCCTATTTACAAATTCTGTGTGTTATTTTGACTCCCCATTGACTATATATTATTTCCTATTACACATAGCCAATGAACTGTTATTTGTTGTTAAGTGCTGTGGAGTCGGTTCTGATTCATAGAGACCCCATATAGACTTTCTGAGGCTGTTAATTTTTGCAGGAGCTGAAAGCCTCATCTTTCTTCCATGGAGCAGCTGGTAGGGTCGAACCACCGACCTTGTGGTTAGTTAGCAGTCCAGTACTTATCATACAGAGCCACTATATTCTTAAGTCTATGAATAAACTTTAGGGGGAAAAAAGACAATTACAAAGGTGAAGCTATAAATATATTCTTACAACCTAAAGAAAACTGCTCTTAAGGTTTTGATATATCTAAATTGACTCTCTTTCATACTAAGTCTGTTTTCTTTCTTTCTTTTTTGCCTTTCTATTACAAACTGGGATTACTCTATACATCCCACTTTGTAATGTGCTTTCTCACTTTAAAATATTGAAGACATCTGAAATGCTATTAAATATTCTTCTCTAATACGATTTTAATACTTGCTTCGCATTCTTTTAATATAGACATATGACAGGACTCAGGGTAGTATATTGGTTAACACCGGAGGATTCAGATTTCAAAAACAAACACACTAATTTGAAGTTTAGACTCCATCAAAGGGGCCCTGATGGTACAATGGTTAAGTGCTTGACGGCTAACCGAAAGGTCAGCATTCCAACCCCCAGCCTCTCTGTGTGATAGATGAGACATGGCCATCTGCCCCTGTAATGACCCAGCCTCGGAAACCCTCCGGGGCAGACCTGCCCCGACAGCATACAATCACAGCAGGTTCCATCTGATTAGCTGTGTGAACTTGGACACGCTACTTTACCTTTCTGAGCATCAGTTTTATCATCTGTAATATAGGAAGGATGACAATGGTATTACTACTAATAATTACTTCAGGTTAGTGGTTATAAGCATGAAATTGCATGATGCCTGTGAAGGGTTTGGCAAGTACATGTTAATATTGAAGCCTTCCGTTATTTGTGTAACCAATCCCTCATTACCTTATATCAGGTCTCCTCACATCTTTGTTTGGTATTATTGCCAGCATTTAGATAAGCATCTTATCTAGCAGTGTGTTGTTTATAACCATGATTATTTCCCTAGACTTTTTCCCTAGAAGTAGAATTTATGGTTTCAAAGAGTATACAGTCTATGTCTTCCAGGTATGCATCAAATAACAAAATAAAAAACGAAAAAGAAAAGCAAGATGCCTTTGGTTTGCTTTGCTGTGCGCAGCAGTTTAGTGGGAAAGTCAGTCTGGTTACCTTGGGCCCTGGCTTCTATATGGTAATCAGAAGGAAGCACACAATGCAGTCTTCATTAAATCAGAGCACGCTGAACCTGTTTCTTCCATTTGTTATGCCAAGTGACTGGAGGACCCTGGGCAGAGAAATTAATAAAAAGTGTGATTGGCAGCGCTAAACATGTAGTTTGCTTAGAGTCGTTGAAAAAGTAGTTGGGACTGGGACAAGAACTCAGTGACTCTGAACTCCCACCCAGCATTCACAATGCTCATTAACGTGCTTCTCGCTATTGGAAATACCAGTAAAAATGTTGGGAGAATGTCCAGGTGTCCTGTTCAGTCTGTTAAGTTCAGGTAAAGGACTTCATGCCAGGAATAATAGGATCACAACTTCGGTGAGGGTGGTATCTTAGAGACTGGGCCAAGCTGCTTTCTTTCTTATCATGATGTGTGTTAAGTGCTAGAGAGAGGGAGAAATGAGATGTCCTTAGGTAGCATCTGAGCATTTTATAAACTTGACAGACTGGTCATTGTTCATGGTTGACACGGAGAAAACTGGTATTTATCGGACACTTGCTACATCTCAGGAACTGTACCAGGTCCTTTATCAGATTTAAATCTTAAAACATCCTTATGATGGAGGAGCTCCTATTATTTTATAAGTGAAGACATCAAGACTTAGAAGAATTGGAAAATTCCCAAAGTCACAGAGCTGGTAAATTAGTAGTAGAGCCAGTTTTGAAATGCAGCTCTTGCTGGCTCGATTCTGTTCTTTTGGAAGCACACAGCTGAGAAGGAACGAAACCTAAGCAAGTTTAAAAGATTGAAATCATTTTTTGAAAGTGTGAGAGGCAGGGAAGATGTTAAGTATTTTCAGAGCAGCCTGGAAAGCTCCATTACCTAGAACACAATGTTTGTTGTGAACTACGGAAGAGCCCAGGGGTGAGATCAGGCATTGAATGGGAAGGGAAGCTAGGGAGGACCTCTTGAATGAAGGGCCTAGAGATGAGGGAACTGAGCCTTTGAGAGGTAAAAGCACACAGATGCCCAGCTAGGATTGACAGACTGAGAAATAGGGAGGGACTGTCCCATGTTCGTGATGTTATTGTGAAGTACCATGAAGTCAGTTCCAACTCATAGCGACACTGTATAGGGTTTCTGAGGCTTAAATCTTTACAAGAGCAGAAAGCCTCATCTTTCTCCTGGGGAGCAGTTGGTGGGCTCGAACTGTTGACCTTGTGGTTCATAGTCCAGTGCTTAGCTTTTGCAGTTCCAGGATGATAGGTGTGGGCAGTTCTCTTTACATAGTGTATCCATGGGAGATCCAAAATGGATCTCACATCTCTTCTGTTTCCCATAGGGTCTGTGATGATCTGATCAAAGAGGAAAAGAATGAGACGGATGAGTTCCTCGAAGAGTGCGTTATTGATCCTTCACTACGTGAACGTCTTTCCATTCTCTCCCGCACCTTTGAGAATCACAGAAGGCTGGTTCAGGAAGACAGCATGCTCTTCCTGAGTAACATTTTCACTCTGGAGCCCCTGGTAAGTAAATATATATATATATATAAAGCCTGGCCCTATAACAGACATCTGTGGGAGTGTAGGGCATGTTTCAGTGGGAGCGTTTGATGGGGTTAGTATTCAACCAGTGATTTCTGTAAGGAAAAGAAGGAAAGATACTAAAGGAAAGATACTAAAGGAAGTAGAGAGTCTTGGCTTCAACAGCAGGCAGGTTTATTGAGAGTAAACCTGGGAGGGGGTACTCTTACGTCACCAATGGAGACCAAGAGCCCGTCTGTTCCCTTACAGACTGGAGTATTTATAGTCCGTGTGGTCTGGGTATAGTTCTGGCGAGTTTACAATGGGCAGGGGTATGGAGATTTGGGCAGGGGTATGGAGATTTTCCTGAAACCTGGAATTTCAGAGGGGGGAGGGTCTCCAGGTATAACAAAGACCCAAGCTTCATTTGGGGTAGTTGCAAAACCATTCTGTTGATCAGGCGCAAGGTCCTTCAATTTCCAAAAGCCTAAAGAGTCTATGTGAAGAGCCTCATTGTCATTATGAGACATTGAATGAAGGTTAATGGTCATAATGCTCACAGGTCACATTTAGAGAGCATTTTCTATAGGTCAGTATGGTAAGTGAGAAGTTTGGTAACTTGCTCAAGGTCAGTCATGAGCAGTTCATCCCTCAAGAACAGTTTTTCAACCTCAGCATAATTGACATTGGACTGACCTGTACATTGTAGGACCTTTAGCATCCCAACCTCTACCCCCTGGATGCGAGTTGTTACCTCCAAAAATGTTTCCAGACTTTGTCACCACTCCCTCCTGCTGCTTCAAAATAAAAGCCCTTAGCATCCTCTATATTTGCAATGTGCTAGGCAGGAGTCCTGGTATGGCACTGTGGCCTAATGCAACAGATGGCAAAGTCATTTAAACTGCAAGGTTGGTGGTTCAAACTCACCAGCTGCTCCTTGGAAACCCAATATACAGGGTTGCTATGGGTCAGTATCGTCTCGATGGCACTTAACAATAGGCACTGTGATAATCTCAAGGTCAGCAGTTCGAAACTACAGGGTCACTATGAGTCACAACCAACTCCATGGCACATGACCACCACTACCCTCACCACCCACCAGGCACTGTGGTAAGAGCTTGCTGTGCATTATTACTTCGCAGAATGATGTGAGAATAAAAGCTGATGGGAGTCAAGAAAGGCCACAGTTAGATAGAACTGCTGGACTGTTATCTTTCAAAGCACTTGGAGAAAAGACAGGGGCACAAGGGATACAGTTAAATGTGAGATCACTGTGGAAAATTCTGCTGAATTATATTGGCCCATTTTCTTTACATCTACTCCTCCAAACTGTTATTAAATGGTAAGACTTGAAGGAGTTCTATGGCAGAATGAATTTGAGAAACACTACATTAAATATTGCTTGGAAAATTTCTTTACGATTAGGTTTGTAAAAATCTCTAATATGCTAATATGCATTGTAAATCTCTAAGGGAGTTTTTCCTATACACATTTGTCATGGAATCCGTTTACCCGTGATTTCTGTTTAGTCAAACTTCTGTGTGGAATGATGGTGAAGACAGTAAATACAATAGTTCACAGGCTGACTTGATTATCACGGGCAAGATGTTTTAGAGAAGTTTCTTGAGAAGAGACCCTTCTAGGACAGGACTTTTAGAGAACAGAATAGGGGATGTGCATACCTTGGCTCATACTTGGTTTTATGAATGGAGCAGTTTGTTTTCCGTAAAGGGCTCAAGGTGGAGGTATAAGGACCAGACTAACTCTTTGTGGTTCCGCGGGAGAAAGATGAGGCATTCTGCTCCTGTAAAGATTTACAGCCTTGGAAACCCTGTGCAGAGTCACTATGAGTCGGAGCCGACTCCATGGTACTTAACCACAACTACAGTTTTTTGTCAGAAAACTAACAGGTAGGCTAAGTAATCTTCAGATATGGATTAGACCAGCAAGAATTTAAATGTAAGGTGAACCTACAGTGCTGAAGGATAGGACAGGCTCTAAAAGTGAAAATTGATCAATTCCAGAGATGCTTAAAAGGTCAGGAGTGAACTATGGATCCATGCAGACAAGTGGCTGAGTCTAGTGAGCTTGGCTAAGACAGGGAAGAGCAGTCAGATATGGTAATCTTAGACCTCCCAGCAAGGTCAACAGTGTAGACATTCTCTGGAAATTCATGTTGTTGATTGTTCTTTCTGTTCCTCATTGCATTCCGGGAGCAGATAATTCTGTAACCACAGACATGGTGGTCAGGAGAAGGTGAGAAGCCCACAGGTGAGTTCTGAGCATGTCTAAAACAGAAATAGGAAGAGTCAGTTACCTTAGGTTTTTTTCTCTTTATGCTGTCTCCCATTACCTAGTTTATTTCCAGAGCATCACAATGTAAATGGGAGTGCTAAAATATGGTATTTAGTGACTGCTTTTTAGAGTTCAGATAGAAAATGAAGTAGATATTCTCGTCACAAAGCATCTTTTCAACCATTGTTGGTGTTAAGTGCTGTCAACTAGGTTCCAACCATAGTGACTTTGTATAGGGGTTTTCGAGGAGCAGTTGGTAAGCTTGAACCACTAAATTTGTGGTTCAAACCAATTTTGCAGTCCAGCACATTAACCCTCAGCACCACACCAGGAGTCCTTTAACCATTAGTGGTGGTGGTGGTCGTTATGTGCTGTGGAATCAGTACCGACTCCTAGTGACCCTACATAGGGTTTCTTTACAGGAGCAGAAAGCCTCATCTTCTCCCGTGGAACTGCTGGTAGTTTCAAACTGCTGACTTTGAGATTAGCAGCGTGATTTGTAACCACTACGTTACTAAAGCTCCTTTTTCAACATTGTTGTTGTTAGGTGCCATCAAGTTGGTACCAACCCATAGCAACCTTATGCACAGCAGAACAAAACACTGTCCAATCCTGGGCCAACTTCACTATTGTTGCCATATATGAGTCCATCGATGCTGCCACTTGGCCAATCCATCTCGTTGGGGGGCTTCCTCTTTTTCTCTGACCTTTAACCTTACCAAACATGATATCCTTCTCTAGCGACTGGTCCCTCCTGACAATATGTCTAATTACTATTGAATCATAAGGATCTTATCCCCATCTCCTTTCACCAGACCCATCTAGACAAGATGAAAACTATTCAGTGGGAATTCTACCTTCCCCAACACACTCTGAAACTAAACTCCCTCTTGAAAACTTGTAAGCCAGTCACTTCGTGCCATGCTGTTTTGACCACTGTTGCTGTGTAGTAGATTTTGAGAACAGGATGTGAGAGACCTCCAACTCTGTTCTTCTCCTTAAATAATGCTTTTTCCGTATAAAGTTAGTGATCAGTTTTTCCATCTCTTTAAAGAATGACATTGGAATCTGGAATGGAATTGCATTATATCTATAGATTCCTTTGGGAAGTATTCATATTTCATAGTGTTAAGACTTCCTATCCATGAGCAACCATGTAAGTCTCTCTCTCTCTCTCTCTCTCTCTCTCTTTTTGTAGTTTTCTTTGATCTTTGTTTCTCTGGTTATATTTATTCCTAAGTATTTCATCTTTCAGGTGGCTTTGTAAATGGTATTGTTTTCATGATTTCCTTTACAGAGCTGTCTTTATTAGTATAGATGAATCCAACTGATTTTTGTATACTAATGTTGTACCATACTACTTTGCTGAATCTTTCAATAAGTTCATATAATTTTCATGCAGTCTTTGGAATTTTCTTTGTATAGGACCACATCATCTGCAAATAGAGTTTTACTTCTTCTTTTACAATTTGGATGCCTTTAATTTCCCTTTCTTGCTTTATAGCTCTGGCTAAGATTTTCAACATAATATTGAATTGTTATTGCTGTTGTTAAGTGCTGTCAAGTTGATTTCTACTCATAATGACCCTGTATTATAGGGATTCCAAGAAGCAGTTGGTGAGTTTGAATCACAGACTTTGTGGTTCAAACTGACCTTGCAGTCCAGTGATTTATCCCATAGTGCCACACCAGGAATATGTGATAAAGACCATCCTGATATGGTTCCTATTTGTAAAGGGAATGTTTCTCTCTCTTGATAGAAATGTTAGCTGTTGGATTTTCTCTATGCCCTTAGTTGTGTTGAGGAATTTCCTTTGTATTCCTGTTTTGTTGAGTGTTGTTTTTGTTTTTTTTTAAAATCAGGAATGGATATTGGATTTTGTCAATTGTCTTTTCTGTATCAATCAATATGATCATGTGGTTCTTTTCCTTTGTGATATTTATGTGGTGGATTATGTTGATTGTTTTTCTCGTATTGAATCATCCTTGCATCCCTGGTGTGAATCCTACTTGTCATAATTTGTTCTTTTTTAAATTTTATTGGCTAGGATTTTGTTGAGAATTTTTGTATCTATGTTCATGAGGGATGTTGGTTTATTTTTTTTAGTGATGTCTTTGCCTGGTTTTGGTATGAGGGTTATGCTTGCTTCATAAAACGTATTGGGGATATCATCCCCTCTGTACACAGGGTAGATAGGGATGGGCAACTTAGACATTGGCTACCTAAAATGGGAAGGGCTACAAAGGCACAAAGTAACTGGCTTACAAGCTTTCAAGAGGGAGTTTAGTTTCAGAGTGTGTTGGAGAAGGTAGAATCCCCACTGAATAGTTTTCATCTTGTTTAGATGGGTCTGGTAAAAAGAGATGGGTCTGGATAAGATTCTTACGATTCAATAGTGAGTAATTGTTATCATGACTAATAGCAACTGTCACAATTGTAAAAGTAGATGTTTTGTAACAAAAATGGGGGAATAGTTAATCTTACAGTTCAGAAACAGAGAACTCTAGGACCATCAAGGGAGAAGAGCACAAGTGGGATGTGGGCCATTATCCAGTGAAGCAGCAACACCAGAGATAGAGGCAGAGATGCGGACATCGAGAGAGGGAGCAGCTGAGGACTCTAGACTCATGTGTGCTGGTGGCTAAGAGGCAGGCTTGCAGAATATGCCCTTTGGTTGTTTAAATGATTATATATTCCTGAGTGTTTT